CTTTAAAACACTTTTAACAAACTGTGAAATGAAAAAGCATTGGAGTGTGTTTGAATGGAAGATTTGTCACCTACAGCTGGAACTTTGATCTTCAGCATTCACCTTCATGTGTCTCATTTTAATTCCCTGCTTCTAAGGCAGGGGACTGTTTGGTCTTCACATGTTTGGATATAACTGAATTGTAGATGGTAAAAATAATTTGATGTTGTGTTGTATTTTTGTTTTTAAAAAATTAAAACGGGTCAATTTTCCAAATGTTGTCATAGGCTTATTTCTAGATTTCTGTCTTCTTTGGTAGCTGAAATTCAGGTCAGTGGAAATTAGAAACAAGTTATATAAATATGTAAATTTTTGCTTTAGACTTTTGATTTTTATCTCAATCCATTCTATGATGATAAAAAGGACTAGATCCTGACATATGATGGTTGCTAAATGGTAGCTTTAAAAAGTCATCTTCATATTATACAAGACATTTTAAAAGGAAACAGGCAAAATTTCTCTAAAAAATCTCTTTTCCGAAGCCAATTTCATGTCACTTTAAAATATGTATACTTATGGGCTGGACGTACCCCATATAACACCCTTTTTTAGCTTTGTGGGAGAATTTTTGTCCTCCAGAGGGCGCCATCTTGCCATTTTTGTTTAAGATTCAAAAATTTATCCAAAGATATCCAGAAACACTGAGATTTAATTTTATTTCTAGTAATATCAAATGTGAAGGAATATTGGGTATTTCCAAGTATTTCAATACCATTTTGGGTAGGGTTTTGGTTCGGTTGGTTTTGTTGGTCTACTTGAGCATGTAAAAGATTTTGAGCCAGTTCTACATAAAATGAATCGTAGTGTTTTAATAATTGCTAAATTTGATTATACATATATACATATGCAAATTTATGACTACCCAGTTGTACATTGCCTTTTAATATTGGGTATTTCCAAGTATTTCAATACCATTTTGGGTAGGGTTTTGGTTCGGTTGGTTTTGTTGGTCTACTTGAGCATGTAAAAGATTTTGAGCCAGTTCTACATAAAATGAATCGTAGTGTTTTAATAATTGCTAAATTTGATTATACATATATACATATGCAAATTTATGACTACCCAGTTGTACATTGCCTTTTTGAAGAGATTCTAAATTTTGTGCACTGGCTATGGAGATTTTTTATATAT